ATGCACTGCCCAGGCAAAAGACCAAACGATTCCTCTCCAGTAAAACTGGCATGCCCTAGGGAAAAGATCCACAGACACTGTCTTTGGAAGTTTCCCAATGAAATCACAGGCTTGCCCTGACAGCCCTCATAATGAAGCTGTATGGTGGAGAATCCCCGCCCACCGTCCAAGGCACCAGATTCACTTTTCTGTGACTCACCATTAAATAGGAATAGAGAGCTAATGATCACCAAGCAGTTCACTCAAATTTTTAACAAAAAAGTCAGGCACCTATACAAACAGGAAAAAAAGAATCAAGACAGTGCAAGAAGGAAGTAAATAAGTAAATAAACTGTCCTCAGAAAGAGAAAAAAATGCACCCATGGAAAAAATAACAGAATACTATTAAAATGCAAACAAATTAAAACAAGAATGATCTCTTAGAAAACAAAGACAGCAGAAATTCAGATAGGTTAAAACAAAATAGAGAAAACCTGTCAAGAAGTAGGAAAGGCATTAAGACAGAGATAGGAAAATTAGAGAATTAGAGGACAAACAACGAGGTCCCACGTAACTAACAGGAATTCAAAGGAAGAAAGGAGAAAACCAAGGGGGAGGAAATCACCAAAGAACATAATGAGAAAGTTCCAGAACTGAAGGACATATTTTTTCAGATCAAGTGTTCATCATAGAGGCTGAAATAAGGAGTGTCATGAAAAGAAGATCCTAAAATCCTTTGGGGGTTGTTAATTTTAAAAAAGAGAACAAAGGATGGATCACTTACAACACTTTTTAACAGGAACTGTAGAAGCTAGAAAACAATGGCTTACTGGCTTCAACATTCTGAGGAAACATGTTTTCCTCTCTAGAAGTCAGCCAAATCATCAATCAAGGGTGAAAAAAAACCATTTTCAGTTATACAGTGTCTAATAAATTTGCCCCCACATCCCCTTTCTCAGAAAGATCCTAGAAGACATTCCACTAAAAAGAGGGAGTAAACCAAGAAAAAAATCATAAGACATAGGAAAACTAGGGGTCCCACAAAGGAGAGACAGCAGGGAATTCCCAGGAAAATGGCAAAGGTATTCCCAGGACAACAGCTATGCAAGGACTGACTAGCTCCAGCTCGCAGAGGGAAGCCTGTCCCTGGAAGAGGTGCTAAGGAGAGGGGCATAATGCTGCCAGAAAGCTCAGGACACTGGAGGAAAAGGCAAGCACACCAGTGAAAAAGAGAAGCAGCACACAACAAAGGAAATGGAATCACTGCATTTAAGTGCCTTAGCTGTGAATCATGGTTCCATGTTCAAAAGAATGTTAACCCTCCAACGCCAAGTCAACTGAAAATTAATACCTATACACAGCATGGGGAAGCAGCAGTTTCTGCATGGGGGGGGGAGGGGTGTGAGACATACGTAAGAGAGTTGAAGTCTCACCTTCCATTGTAATATGTCAGCACATAATGTCCAATAATGAAAATTTTTAAAGAGCAGTATATACATAATATTTCAGAAGATGGAGGAAAACAGCAAAAAGACTCAAAGGTGGTTGCCTGGGGAGCAGGACTTAGGAGAAAGGATAGGCTGGAGTTCTATGCACCTATTCTTACTATGGGTCTTATTGCTTGTTAAAAAAATTTTTTTTAATCTATATAGGCTATTAGTTTGATGAGGAAAATGTTTAAATTTTTAAAAATTCAGAACAGTAGGTAAGAAAAGTAGAGAGAATGAACTGCAGTGGGAAAATGACAGCAAGATAACCAGTCTCCAGGCTCCTGCGAACTCTAGGTGAGAGCAGGGAAGTGCTTCCTCTGATAGCTGGTGGACAGGGGCTTGCTGAGGGATGGGGAGCACAGGAGACAGGGGGATAGGTTTGAAAGATATTTATTTATTTGGGGGGAGGTGGAGAATCAAAGATAATGGGAGACAATCAGGAGACTGAAAGAACAGGCAAGGCGATGGCACAAATATCTACCCCTCTAGGTATTTACTTAATTAGTCCACAAATGCTGGCTCCTTGGGAGCCTCATATCCTTTCCCTCCTCCCCAAGAATACAGAAGCATTCTGATTTGCCTTTTGTTTAGGTTAAAATTTTTGGTAATTATGAAATATACAAATAGAAAAATACAGAAAATAGGAATGATCATCCAAGTACCAACTTTTCAGCTTTTTCAAATATTAATATTTTGTCATATTTGCCGATAATGTCTGTCATATTTACCACTAATTTTCTTAAAGAAAGAAACATTATGGACATAGCTGAAACTTTCTTCAAACCATTCCCTAATCCCATCACCAATCTGCCTCCCATAAGATGACCACTAACCTGAATTTGGCATTTAAAATCTCCATCTACCTCATGCCTAAAATAAGAGCACTGGTTTGCATGAATTCTAACACCGTTCTCTATTCTGAGACACCAGGATTCAATAATATGAGACAAAGTTCTTGATGTTCTGTAATGAAGTGCAAAAACCTATATATACTGCTGTAAAACACACAAAAATATTTCAAAGTAATTTCCAAACTCAAAGCGGACCAAATCATAATGTGACCCTTTGGCAAAACAATCATAGTAACTTTATTATAGTAGTGTCAGTAAATATTATAATAAATGCATAGGGAATATAAAAACCTACGTTCAGGATTTTGCTGTGCTTTCCTTTCATCATACCTATCTGCTCCAAGGAAGGATAAGGAAGTGCTGGAACATAATATCCCTACTGCAGTTCTGACTGCCTGTGTAATTAATTCAATGTAGCACCAAACTGTCCCAGCTATCATTGACTTCTTCTCTAGCAGGTGATCACAGCAAAAAGATTTTTAAAAATTTGTAATGCCAGTGTTACTTAAAATTGTCTTTGATGCAAGGAAGTTATTTGTATTACATCTCAACCTGTGAGTCCACAACTTTATTTTCTGGGTGATAACATGGGAAGTACATACTTCTGTATACTAGAGCATGAAGGTCATCTCAAGGAGAACACTTGTACGATTATTCGAACTGTGAGCCAAACAAGCCACTATGTTTATGGAATACCACTTTTACTTGAAAGAATAACTGACAAACTCATTATTTAGACGTGGGTATCTGGCAGACACTTCCTCTACAATGAAGGAAAAAGGTCAATTCAGGAAAAACAACTAACAGTATCTGCTGCCAAGGGACAGCTTTACACTTTCAATTGAAAATTAAAATTTTGGAAAACTTGTTTCCACCGTGAGCTTGACAACATTCCAACACAAATATTTTTCTGATGAGATGTGTGGTAATATTAACAACTGTGATTTCTTGAAACTGCAAAATGAAATGTGTTAACATTTGGAATATCTGTATTACCTAATGAACCAGTATTTTTCAAATGACCAATACATAATGCAGTAAATGAAGCATGGGCAAAGACTCATTCAAAGTGCGAGAAAAACCAATAGAGCCTAATGTAAAACAATTTTAAAAGTTCACTAATAGGGTCTTAGATTGTACATTGGAACTAACATTTAAGAAATGATTGCTTGTCAAGTTTTGGGATAGTATTAAAAGAATATTCACAATTATAAAAAATAACCATTAAAATACTCTTCCCTTTTCCTACATATCTGCACAAACTTTGTAATAAGCATTTATTGAATTACTAGAGGCCTGGTGCATGAAATTCATGCGGGGGGAGGGGGTCCCCTCAGCCCAGCCTGCACCCTCTCCAATCCAGGACACGTATCTAGTCACTCCTCACTGCCTCCCCTGCCAGCTTAATCACCCGCAAATGCCCCGTCGCCAGTGTGGTCACCCCCAACTGCATCCCTCTGCTGGCCTGGTCGCCTTTAACTGCCTCCCCCTCCCGGCCTGGTCACCCCCCATCCTCCCCTGCTCATTTGGTCATCCCTCACTAAACCCCCTGCCAGCCTGGTCACCCCACACAGCCTGCTTGTTCAGTTGTTTGGTCGTCCCTCACTAGCCCCCCTGCTGGCCTGGTCTCCCCACGCAGCCTGCTATTCAGTCATTTGGTCATCCCTCACTAAACCCCCTGCCAGCCTGGTCACCCTACACAGCCTGCTTGTTCAGTTGTTTGGTCGTCCCTCACTAGCCCCCCTGCTGGCCTGGTCTCCCCACGCAGCCTGCTTGTTCAGTCATTTGGTCATCCCTCACTAACCCCGCTGCTGGCCTGGTCATAGGCAGCCATCTTGTGAGGGCGTGAGAGTTAATTTCCATATTACCTCTTTATTATATAGGATTCTTCCTGGAATTAAAAATCATAAACACATAATCACAATGATTAATTATCATAGTTTAATCTTTGAGCACTATCGGTCATTTAAGAACAAGTGAACCATTCATTATTTAAGTTACATCCTTCTGCAATTATAGTCTCATGTATTTACAACAAATATATATGTATCAAAGACTTCATTTACTACAGAATCAAGACTGGTCATTACTCCAAAAAAGGAAAAGGAAATGAATATGGTAAATTCTTAAATCTATTTTAAATACATACAAATAAAGTGCCTTTTCTCTAGTAACAAAGGACCAGATCCTATTCATTTAACACTGACTCTTGACATCTACACACTACATCTAGGATGGCCTAGATGGTATTAATGGATTTAAACCTTAGTTCTTCAATTCCTAAGGAAATGTCTTCTCATGGAAAAACCCTGACCTTTCGTGAATTTCAAAAGAAATAATTCAATCTGATCAAACCCCTGTAGTTCAGCAGTAAAGTACCAAACAGCATTAACTTTTCACTGACCCATTTGTATATGGGTTAAGAAATAAAAGTGATTTAAAGAGAAATGTTCTTCTTATACAAATCTATCCTGTTAGTGAATATCATAAAGCATTCATTTCAAAGGCAAGAACCTTGAAACTAATTTCAGAGTAAGAATTGCTAATGTCTTTACTAATAAAGTCCTATTACCCTGCCCTCTGAAAGTTAAACACCATAGCTTTTTAAGTCAGAATATTCAAGAAACAACCAGAAGCTGACACCCCTCCCCTTTTGAATGACCCATTTCTGCATGTTCACCTTTGCAGTTCACTGAGGCCCCTGGCAGTGGGTGGACTGGGATTTTGCCTTAGAAAGTTTTGTTTTAAGTTGAGATGAGTGAGGTCTTGGCTGTAAAAGAGGTTGGCAGGCAGGTGCTCCAGGCTACAACAGGAGAGGTCCACTGAGCTAATACGCTGTGATGCAACCTAGAAGGGACAGAAACACAATTCCATTATAACTCCATCCATTTATCAGATAACTGCTTTCTATGCATAGAAATAAGGTAAGTCCATTTGGGAACCCAGACATACTATGCAAGTAGCACTATTAGTCCAAATATAAATGGGGCCAGTGAGCAGGCAGTGCGGGGCCAGCCAGGACAGGTGCCTGCAGGGGCTCCCCCCCCCACACCTATCACCCCACCAGATGCCCCGCAGATCGGCCCTGATCACCGGCCAGGCCTAGGGACCCTACCTGTGCATGAATTTCATGCACTGGGCCCCTAGTATACTATAAAAGCAGAAAACAGTGTCCCTGCCTGGAAGGAACTTACAGTAACCTAGTATAGCAGACAGGTTACAAAGAGCACAGATTATCCTATCAAGTTTAGTGATATCAGTAACCACCTCCAACTGTTTTCAGGGGTTATGTTCCTGGAAACATCCATTGTGAGAGAATTCAGAGCTAAATAATATAAGACTTTAGAGTAAACACCAGGTTGGGAGATAGATAAGAAGATCTAGACTGAACCTATGAAAGTCCTTGTATATTTTGATTTAAAGCAGTGTAAATACAGAAAAGTACCATTAGTGGTCTTATACATATCTTCTATATATATATAAAGCCAGCATAATGCCAGAACAACCGAATGACCAGTCGCACACTGACCACCAGGCAGCAGCTCCCACAGAGGAAGAGCCACTCAAGCCAGAAGCTGGGTGCACGAGCCTCTCCCGCCTCTGGCAGGCGCAATCTCCAGCAAACAGACTGCAGTCCTAACGCCTGGGTGGTGGGGGTGTAGCCAGAATGACCACGGATCAGCCTTCACTGGCCCCTGGTCACCCCACGTTCCCTTCAGACTCTGCGGCTGCACCACATCCCTTACCTAATGCCCCCTGCGTCTCTGGATGCAGGCTTGGGTAAAACCCACAGAGGCGCTTCACAAAATGAACTGCCTGGGCCGGCCCCCATCTCAAGAGCAAGTGCTGGCAACATCCAGCCCAATGACCAACACCCAGGCATGTCTGTGGGTGAGCCCTTCACAACTTCCACCTACCACCTGGCCCCGGCCCCATCTCCTAGAAAGGTCCGCAACCTGGCACCAAATACCTGCTCCTGGATCCCTGCAGAGCACTGGTCAGCTCCGGTGGGTGGAGGGGCACCAGCAGGTGCTGGACTGACCTGTTGTTTGGTTCAGGCAGCCCCACCCTTGGGCCAGGAGTTGTGTGGAAAAATCACCCCCTATACTCTGCTGGTACAATCTACTGTGAACAAATGCAGCATGGAATGTTTGTGTGTGACTGGGACAACCTTGATACTGATGCTGGCTCCCTGGAACTCCCCCTCAGGCATCAGGGCCATGTGGAACTCAAATATTAAGAACACGCCTTACCTAGGACCTCGATCCATCTCTCCCTCCTTCCTTCCTACCACCCTCAGCTGCCATCGCACCCTTCCCGGGCCTGGCCTGCATCCGGGCTCCCTTGTTCCCCTCATATCCCTGGTGGCTCCTGCCGATGGGAGCTCTTGTGGATGGATACACCCCTTCCCCACCCCCTGCGGTACCCACCCCGGGGATGCCCACAGTTCAGCCAGAACTTGCCAGTAGGCACATACCCTATAAGCCTACAGGTACAATCTCCGGGAAACGAATGAAGCACGGACACTCAGAGTAACCAGGATGAGCCTGATATCACTGCCATGCTCCTGGAACTCTGCCTGGGGCATGGAGATAAAATCTCATCCCTTACCTATTGCCCCAAGCTACAGAGGAAGGCAGCAACATAAAAATGGCCACAAGGTGGCGACTGACAATCGGTGTAAAAGTCAGAGAGATGGATCTGAAGGGTGTGGATGTGGGAGAGATAGCACCCACTCCCTCCAAGATCCCCAACTGTATTATTCACCTCCGAGCATCTCTTATCCGGCTCTGAGCGGTGGAAAGCATGCAGCATGGCCCAAGGTGTTCATTGGAGACCACCCGGCTGGCAAGGCGCAACCCTGGCCGCAGAAGGGATGTTTGGAAATATTTTTTCAGGAAGCTACAGGGAGGACAGACTCCCCATGCGACTTCCCAGGGGCTCAGGGAACATGGAAACTCCCTGGGTGCAGGCTCCCGATTTCCTTTCAATGTGCACAAATCTGTGCACCAGGCCACTAGTCTTTAATAATAATGGCAGCATGTAATCAGATTCCATTGCTTGCCTGCTATAAACTTCTTGATTGCCTCGCCCACAGTGTCAGGGAGATGCTTAAAAATTCACAGTGCTTTGCTTCATTTAGGTATTCTAAGTAAAATTTATTTTGTCTAAATGTTTATCCACATACTCCAAGCTTTCCTGGTTAGATGACTCCTCCCCTGGCCAGAATCCCAGGGCTAAAGACCAAATGGCACACTGGAGACAGTAAAGCATTGGGCAACCTGGATTTCTCAAATGCTCTCTCAATATTCCAGGTAATGTGGTGCCAGCTCAGGCCACAGTGTGTGGCTTCAGCCCCTTGTACACACACCTTGGTGCCTTCTCTCCTAAGAGAAGACATGGAAATAATGCTCAAAGATCTGGTTGATTCTCCCTCAAGCTCTTTATCTTCACCAAAGCTTTATATATGATCAAATCTGAGGTCCTTTTTCTATTACCAAACCCAGGATTTCTGTTTCTCAATTAGAGAAGGCAGAGAGCATGGTCTGAGGAGTGTGACTCTGGTCAGTGTGTGGACCTCATCCCAGCTTCCCACTCAGGAGTGGACAGGACTGGAGCAGATTACGGGGTTCTCCAAGCTCCAGTGTTCTCATCTGCACAACAGACATAAAGATGACACCTGTATCCACACGCCTGGCACAGAAAAAGCGTTCAATAAATGGTGATTGCTATTATTACCACAACTACTTCCAAACAGAATGGTTCGAATCTTACATACATTTAATCCAAATTCTCCCAATGCTAAGAAGGTACTGAGAATTAAATTTGCATAAAACATATTCAGCTGATGACATGTTTGAGGTTAGAAAGAAATTACTGTGCACACATGAAAGCTAAGGGGATAATAGGGTTTAATGGGCCTGGCAGGGTCCAACTCAAAAGATTTTACAACAGAAGTTAGAGTTTGCATTGTAACAATTTTATCTGCCCTTGAATTTTCACTATTAAATAAGAAAATCCCAAACAGAACCAAATCATCCAAATAAAACAAAAGATGTAAAAAGAGCCAGAATTTAATGGGCCTTAAAGGCAGGTATACTCATGCCACAGTCACACAGGGTTTCCTGGCAGGAACCTGTTCACAGGAAGCGAGGTTGAGTTACAATTGGTGAAATCTCATTCATTCAAAAATATGTGTTAAGCATGCAATGTTGTGCCACACCTTCTGTTTCCTGAGGTATAGCAGTTCAAGATAGACATAGTCTCTGCTCCAAACCAGTACACCCCATGAGGAGAGGGCAGTTTGATATGGTGCATGATAATGGCTGCCAGGAGCATGATCTAAGGAGTCAGGAAGGGGTCCCAGAAGATTTTATGTCCAAGCTCTAGTTTGAAACTTGAGTGGAAATATGTGTTTTTTCATTTGCCCCAAATGCTTTCTCCACTTCTTTTTTCCTGTGACAATCCTTCAAACGCATGTGATCATGGTGAGAGCTGCAAATAAAGTAAGATGACCCTCTGACTATAGGCATAGGCATGTATTCCAGGCTTGAGCAATCAGAGTATCCCATCTGCTTAACCCACAGAGTGACCCAAGCTAAGCTTATCAAAGACCTTTTCTGGGATGCATATAGTCTGAAGTCAGGAGAGAGAGAGCTGCAGTTAAAATGAATAAGCTAGATTCATCGACTGATATGACTGATAATAAAGCAAGTATACAGTTATACAGTATAATGCCATATGAAAACATTTTAACACAAGCACACAAAACTCCATATGTTATGTATGAACTAGAGGCCTGATGCACGAAATTCATGCAAGAGTAGGCCTTCCTTCCCCTAGCTGCTGGCACCAGCTTCCCTCTGGCACCAGAGACCCAGGCTTCCCTCCAGCCGCTGGCAGGCACCTGGGACCCGGCTTCCCTCACAGCCCTGGCTTTGTCTGGAAGGTCATCCAGAAGGACGTCTGGTCTAATTAGCATTTTATGCATTTATTATTATAGATAGTTATATGGGCATAAAACTATAAACCATGTTGGTTGTATATCAAATTAATGATAATGATTGCCTCTAGATAGGCAGGAAGGGAAATGGAAACAGGAATGGGAAGACAGGAGAGCTGGAGTTTATCTCTAACGTTTATTTCCATATAAGAAAAATAGAAGATATGAAAGAACTATGTCAACGTATTGACAACCAGGAGGTGGTACATTGAAACTGTAATATCCTGTATGTTTGTGTATGTGTGTTTAATTAGAAAAAACTAGAAGCCCAGTGCACGAAATTCATGCAGGGGGGGTCCCTTAGCCCAACCTGCACGCTCTCCAATCTGGAACCCCTTGGGGGATGTCCTACTGCTGGTTTAGGCCCGATCCCAGGAATCGGGCCTAAACTGGAAGTCGGACATCCCTCTCACAATCCTGGACCGCTGGCTCCTAACCGCTTGCCTGCCTTCCTGGTCACCCCTTACTGCCCCCGCTGCTGGCCTGGTCACCCCTAACTGCCCCCCTGATGGCCTGGTCACCCCCAACTGAACCCCCTGCCAACCTGGTCACTCCCAACTGTCCCCCCCTGCCAGCCTGGTTGCCCCTAAATCTCTCCCCACCAGCCTGGTCATCCCTTACTGCCCCCGACCCTGCCGGCCTGGTCACTCCACACAGCCTGCTGTTCAATGATTTGGTCGTCCCTCACTAACCTCCTGCCAACCTGGTCATAGGCAGCCAACTTTTGAGGGTGTGAGGGTTAATTTGCATATCACCTCTTTATTATATAGGATAATGTAATTGCAATAAAAATGTCAGTAAGAAAAAGGAAACTATATGACAAACAGCCATGGAAAGGTTAAGG